CATTGTGCACCATTACAGCCTTCTAGCCGCTGCCATCCTGACAACCAATGACATCATCAGTTGATAAGGAGGATGACGGTTGCCTGCACAGCATCCTTGTTTGACTCTCCCAGACTCCATCAGTGCTGGGGTCAAATCAGCTCAGTGATGGAGAAAAACTGAGGGAGAAGAGAAACATTGGAATACTAGTGTGCAAAAGTGTATTTGCTTTGGAAGAATAAATCATCTCTAATGTTGGGTGTACTACTTGTATAGAAGTTGCTGTGTTATATAAAACTATCATAAAAAAAAAAAAAAGTTATTTTAGAATGGGGTGCCTTGGAACTGTCCATAATTTTAGAGGGTGCCTTGACATTTTCCATGATTTTAAAGGGTGCCTTGACTAAAAAAAAAGGTTGAGAAACACTGATCTAATATATCATAGTTATACTGGACATACCAGTGTAACTAAGTTGGCTGCGTGTAAGTACTTTTACCATCACAGAATACTGCCCCATTGAGTTTCTGGTGACAGGATGGAAGACAAGAGTCCCAGAAGAGCCAAAAATGCTGCCCCATCTCTCAAAGGAGCATTCGGTATCTTATGCATAGATTGTGCTTAAACACTGACTCTCTGAAAAGTCGATATTTGCATACAGATTTGAGCGTTTAGCAGCACAACACATGAAGCTAATAGGTTAGATTCAGGCACCCGGTGGGGACTACTTCAGGATCCGAGCTTCGTTTCACGGGTTTACTTTCAAGAGATAAGGGTCCCTACAAACCATTCCATTCCCAATGCTTGATCAAACCTATACTTTCCCAGAAATGCATATTCTATTAACTACAGAAATGCACAAGCACACTCATACCGTACAATATGCAAGAAAGAACATTATTACACAGCAGGGTACAGCGTCAGCTATTTGAGAAAATATCTGTTACTTAGTAGAACAAGGTGAGAAAGGGTTTTGTATTTTTTTATTATGAAGAATGCTCTATTTCAGACACAGTACAAATAATAGCCTATCTACATTTTGATGGCTTGCTTGCAATTTAATGATACATTTCTGTAATTGGCATTCTGTACAATTCACGCTCAGTGTGTACGATGGAGTTGCGGATTAACACTGGACATTGAAATAGACTTTCTATGCCTCCCAAGGAATCCGCACATGTTAATACCCGCAGAGATGATTGCAGGATAGAACACAATTAAATGTTGTCAGGCAACAAAACTGAACTTTCATAATGTAGTAAAGAATAAGAGAGATAAAAGAAAGAGGGAGGGAGGAGGGGGGCTAAAAGATTAGAAAAAAAGAAAAGCAAAATATTTGCATAAATCCACAAATTAAATTGCGCCGGGAAGAAGTGAGAATGTATGTCCACTGTTATGGCTTTCTTCTACTCTCATTATTTAGGAACAATATAAACCGTAATAAATGAAAGCTCAAAACACTGGAAAAAATGGCTTAAAGCATCACTGTTGTACATTAACATTTCACTAAACATGACAACAGCTGGTGCTTCAGATCATCTACAAGCGTCTGCAACATCCATGAAATAGCCCTATTTAACACAGCAAGTCCTTCAACTAAATGGTGAGCAGAACCCATTCTTAAAGATGAATTTCAGGAATTTAGCCACTTTCTAAAATGTTCTGGATTACTATGGGTTAAGTCCAACAAAGCACATCCTACATTGTGGACTTATCTCTTTAAAGAATATGTAAATCCGTCATTTCATATTCCTGATATGTGCCTGCTGTACCATGTACTTGTATGAAAAAGTATCCTGTTCTCTTTGCATTGCTTCCTTTGTGTGAAATCCCTGGTGTGCCTACCAGTCCCTCTGCTTTCCTGTCAAAAACTGACTACACTAGGCATGAAAGCACAATATGGCCAGTTTTCTAGCTGAGTTGAGAGCTGAGTCTGAGCCTGCTCTCCTCCGTTGATCAGCTTTGTCCTGACATGCTCCCCCCTGCATAGCCATTCACTTGGAAGACTAGTGTGCTGTTGTTTCTTCTCCCCCACCTCTCTGAGTTCTCTATGCAGCCTAGAACTAAGGGGAGGGGGGTTGTGACGGGAGTCACTTTGGGTGGGGGGCCCATGGAACCCAGCTTACTTTGGAGAGGAGGGGAGACCCCTGTCTTAGCTCTCCATATCCCTCTTATGTGTAATTCACCCCCTGTGCCTGTTAGAGGTATAGGGTGATCTGTCCTAATATTGTGTGGGGGTTGTTGATTGTTCAATGTTATGTGGCTGCATCCTATTGTTCTATTGTGTGTCTGGTTTGGGAGCAAACTATTATGGGATGTATGTGTTTATGTGTATTAGCTTAGTAAGGGGGGGGGGGGGGGTGTCTCCAGCAGCCCTCCCTCCTGATGGGACTGTCTGCTGGTGTGAAGTTTGAATACCTGTGTGTCTCTTGTTACTAAATGTAGATTGCCCCACCCTGTGTCATTATGCAGGGAGGGGGGACTGTCCCTCTGAGTGTATATATCTTGTATGTGTTCAAATAAACTAGTCTACCTTCTGGTTTTCTTCAAGACTGGTATCGTCTAGTCTTGTATGGTCGGCTGTAGGGGCCTGTTGTCAGTGTTCAGACGGGGAAGCGGTAGTCTAACAGAAGTACCCAAGCGCAGTCTGAGTCGGTTCCGTTACAGGGGGGGAGGGGGGAATGTGTTTGTAATGTTTGTTTATGTCTGTACACAAGCGTTTTACTTTTCTATTTTAACCAATTCAGCCTCAGTAAGGTACCCGTACGTCACCAGGTTGAAGTGGTTATACCGGAATGATGCCTGCGGCTACAGGCATCATCCCAGTATCTTTTTGTTTTCAGGCGGAAATGCTGAAGAATGTAAAATCAATCTTGGAGGCTAAATAGCTGCTGGATTGTTATTACATGCGGCAGGAGGGGTCTAATAAGAGGACCTGTCATGGGCCCATGCTATCAAGAGGGATGTTGTTCAGCCCTAGTGATAGCCATAAAAGCGATTTAAAAAAAAAAAAAAAAAAAAGTTACAGTGTAAAGAAATTTACATTTTTTTTTTTATTGCGCCACCATGCTTGCGTGCAAAGGTGAATGCACACATCAGTCCCACACACATATGTAAATAGAAATCGCACTGCACATGTGAGATATCACCACGAACGTCAGAGTGAGAGCAATAATTCTAGCACCAGACCTCCTGTGCAACTCTAAACTGATAACATATAAAGGCTTTCAAAGTTTTTCCTATGGAGATTTTTAGGTACCGTAGGTTGTCACCACTCCACAAGAGTGAGCAACTTTAAAGCATGGCAAGCTAGGTATATATTTAGTCAGTATAACATATTTTACCAATCAATTGGGTATTGTGTCCTGATGATCAGTTTAGCCTCATCAGTGTGGCCAATAGTGCCTATCAGTGCTCATCTGTGCTGGCTTTCAGTGCTAATCTGTGCTGACTATCAGTGCCTCCTCAGTGATGCCTGTCAGTGCCGCCTATCAGTGCAGCCAATCAGTGCCATCAGTGCAGCCAATCAGTGCCCATCCATGAAGGAGAAAAATCACTTATTTGCAAAACTTTAACAGAAACTAAGAAAACTTTTTTCCCCCCCTACATTTTTGGTCTTTTTTTGCTTGTTTAGCAAAAAAATACAAAAACCCCAGTGGTGATTAATACCACCAAAAGAAAGCACTATTGTTCTAAAACAAATTATAAAAATTTAGTTTGGGTACAGTGTTGCATGACCCTGCAATTGTCATTCAAAGTGCGACAGTGCTGAAAATTAGCCTGGGCAGGAAGGGGGTAAAAGTGCCCGGTAGGCTAGTGGTTAAATATTGATTGTCTTAGTTTTTAATGTCATTTTTCAGTTTGTCAGTACAAAAAAAAAAAAAAAAAAGTGCTTTGTCAGTAAATTGACCATGTTTTTTCAGTAAAAATATGCTGCGGGAGGTTGGCAAGCTGATCTCTGCTTCTATAAGGGGGAGAGATGGGTGCTTTGATGGAGACCCCAATGTAAGGGGGGGGGGCTTTGATGGAGACCTCATTGTAAAGGGGACTCTAATAGTGAGCCTGGTGTGGGGGAGGATTTTATTCTGAATGCAATATATTTTTAAATATACAATGTGGCTCTAGTAATTAAAAGTTTGGAGACCCTTAATTTAACAGATAATTCAGAGGTCGTACTAGCTTTTAAAGAATTGGGTCACATGCTGCAGTGCAGAATTTTCAACATTCAAAAAATGCCAATTTATACGAGTATCAAAAGAGGTTTTTGCTTGTGAAATCACAGAAACCTGAATGACATGTCTCAGCAGCCCCGGCAACTAACTAACCATGAGGGGGTTCATGGGTGTTCTCTTGTGAGTGGAGTTTGGGTGGAACCAAGAACAACCACACTGCCCATGTAAAATGTAACTGCCAAGATAACTTTTATCAATCAAAGTGAGAATTTTACACACGGGCACAGTGTTTGGCCCTATGTTTTAACTGTTTAACCACTAGCCTACAGGGCACTTATACCCCCTTCCTGCCAAGGCCAATTTCCAGCTTTCAGCGATGTTGCACTTTGAATGGCAATTGCGCGGTCATACAACATTGTACCCATATGAAATTTGTATCATTCTTTTGTGACAGATAGAGCTTTATTTTGGTGGTATTTAATCACCTCTGGGATTTTTATTTTTTCTTAAACCAAAAACCACTGAAAAGTTTGAAAAAAAAAGTTTTTTTCTTAGTTTTTGTTATACAATTTTGTAAATAAGTGATTTTTCTCCTTCACTGATGTGCGCTAATGAGGCTGCACTGATGGGCATGATAGGCTGCACTGATGGACACTGATAAGTGGCACTGATGAGGAGACACTGGTAGGTGGTACTGATGGGCATTGACAGGCTTCACTGATGGGCAATGAAAGGCAGCATTCTTATATGGTACTGACAGGCAGCACAGATAGGTGGCACTGACTGGCACTGTTAGGCGGCACTGATAGGCAGCACTGATGCACACTGATAGGTGGCACTGATTGGCAGCACTGATAGTTGGCACTGACTGGCATTGATAGGTGGCACGGACAATGATGGGTGACACTGAAAGGCAGCTCAGATGGGCACTGATATGTAGCATTGATGTGGCACTGGCAGGTGGCATGGATGAGCACTGAGAGCTGGCACTGATGGACACTGACAGGTGGCGCTGCTGGGACTACACAGATCATCAGGGCATACTGATCAGCAGTGCTCTGATGATCTGTGTACATGCCCCCTCCGAGGAATGCTGATTACCGGCTCTCCTCTCCTCACGAGCTTTCAGTGTGACAGCTCATGGGGAGAGAAATGCCGATAACTGGCATTTCCCTGTTTACATGTGATCAGCTGTGATTGGACACAGCTGATCACATGACCGAGCCGACATCTTCGTCTCTTTCCATAGATCAGTGATCCACTGTGTCCGAGGGACACAGTGTACCGCCGATCTCCACGCCCTCCGGGAGCCGCGCATGCGCGGTTAGAATGGGAGGACGTCATATGACATCCTCCCAGAACGTGAGAACCACCTTGTGTCCGTCATATTACTATATGGCGGGCGGGAGGCGGTTAAAAAGTACAGCTAGGCATTAAAAGCATGAGGGTGCAGTAGCTGTCTTTAGGAATGAATTGGACCCAACAGCCTACGGTCATTCTTCTGTATGAAACTTGTGATAGTGTGAAGCCATCTAGTTGGGATCAGTAAACACTGTGGAAGCTTTAAAAAAAAAAATATCAAGGCTCAATGGAAGCAGGTGGCTGTAAGAATGCTCTCTGAAAGCATCAGAGTTGTGTGACTCATATTGTGATATGTCTTAGGATGACAAAGTGGGGTGCATTGCTACACTTTAAATGTGCAATTAGATTGTAGGCCAAAAAATACCACATGCTTTCCATAGAACATTCTTGTAGCTGTAAGTGTAAATTTCAGATGTATATGTGGGGCATAAAAATTGAGATCCTAAGTCTATGATGTTTGTTTAGTAGAACTGTATTAAAGCTCCACTCCAAGCAAACAAGGCGGTAGTAGAATAGAACCAAACCCAGAAAAAAGAAACTTACGTAGCTTTGCCTTCTCTTAGAAAAATACAAGAGAGTGAGAACTGAAGAGTGGCTGACACAACCTTTTTTGACAGGGGTTTGAATTTCAGCTTGACATCCGTTTGGGTAGGCATGGGGCTTGCGTATTGCTTCATGTTAATGTTACTGGTAGCAAGGGCTTTTCGACGACCAGAAGTCGATTCCTAAAAAAAACAAGAAAAAAAAACACGTGTAACCATGGTCAAAATGTAAAATCGTATTTATTTCCACATTGTATTTCCATTATATATAGTCTACTGCTACTAATCTGAATGATCCTGAAGTTTAAAATATAAACCAAAGGAATGAGCAGAAGAGAAACTGCAAAGCATGCGGGGAATCCAGGAAGTTGTGAAAAGAGACGGCCAGCAGACAGAGGTCTCAACATGAAGGAGATTTTTCAAATAAACATATTGGATTGTCAAAAATAACAATTGTTTGTATTGCCAATGTTGATGCTATATATTGAAAGCTTTTGCTGTGGCTATAGATCTGCTTCAAGGACCAACCTCTTGTAGGTGTTGGTGGCTATGCCCTTACTGAGATCTCACCACCCTCAGTTGTGACTGGGCAGCACCAGAGAGGAGTCAAGGAGATACCTCCCCAACAAGGACAGGCATCAAGAAAAGGGGTTATAACCCTTTTACATTCAATCCAAAATTTGAATATGTATTCCGTGGATTTGAGCTTTATTAGTTTGTGGAAAAAGATAGGTTTCCATAATTATATTCAATACATCCATTATCTTCAGTTACATATGCCACATGTCCAGTATAACTGCTAAGAGGAAAATAAGTTCTGCAACGTGAACACTTGACAGAACCTCAAACCAGTTTCACAGGTCTGTCAGTTGAAATTTTAATGCAGGGTGAAAAGTTTAGTCTATATGTGGATGAGGATACAGTTTGCCACTATGACACTCATCTTAGATGATCTAGGTCACACATGGCACAACTACCACTGAAGATACTCACCTTAGATGATCTAGGTTACACAAGGCCCACCTAACACTGAAGACACTCACCTCAAATGATCTAGGTTACACAAGGCCCACTTAACACTGAAGACATTCACCTCAAATGATCTAGGTCACACATGGCACAACTACCACTGAAGATACTCACCTTAGATGATCTAGGTTACACAAGGCCCACCTAACACTGAAGACTTTCACCTCAAATGATCTAGGTCACACATGGCACAACTACCACTGAAGATACTCACCTTAGATGATCTAGGTTACACAAGGCCCACCTAACACTGAAGACACTCACCTCAAATGATCTAGGTAACACAAGGCCCACCTGCCACTGAAGACACTCAGCTCAGATGACCTAGATTACACAAGGCCCACCTAATGCCGCAGACACACATCTTAGTTGATGTAGGTCACATGGCACATCTACCACTGGAGACACTGACCTCAGATAATCAAGGTTACACATGGCTCAGCTACTGCTGCAGACACTCATCTTAGATGATCTACTGCTCACCTACTACCAGGAACACTTTTTTTTTAGATAATATAAGGTTTCACACAGCAAACCTACCACCGGAGACCCTCATCTTAGATGATCTAGGTTATGATCTAGGCTCCACCATACCTGGCAATACATTGTATTTTCTTCACTTGTGGAAGCTGAAAGGGACAACTTCAAGAAGTGAACAAAATGTGATGTACTTCTGTCAGATTTATTTTGCTGTGTGTCCTCACTGTTGAGATATTGTCTCATTTTCTGTCCCTGTGGCCATATAGAAAGTAAGGTACGCTACCCAAGGGAGGCACAAATGTCTCAACAGGTGTTTTATTTTTTACAAGCAGAGACACTGAATAGTCTAAATGGAAAGAAGGCCTGACCAACAGGATACTTTGATTGGGAAGAGTATAAAACAAACTTTGCCTATGAAAGCCACATATTTGTTTTAATGCCCGCCACCCCTTTTCTGCATTACTCGGTTGTCCCTTTCAGCTTCCAGGGAAGGTAAGCAAAGGAAAGGAGAGTATGTGCTGCTGAAAGCAGGGAGCAATAACGGAAACTGTCGCTCTACCTGTATATGAAAAGAAGAGGTTTGCTCTAAGGTCAGAGAAGGTGCATCGAAACTGGTTACACAATAGGATCACAATATATCAAGTAGAAAAAAAAACACTGGTTGTTTTGTAAATTATTTTACATCATTTCATAGCTCAGAGAGTTCAATTTTCCAGTTCTCCAAACACAAGCTATGTAGAAATGTATACTGTACACACCACACCTTAATCAGCCAAACCTCAATGCCAGGAAGGAGTGGAGTCACACCCAAGATGTTAATTTAGTAAAAGTAAAAAAAAAAAAAAAGTTTAACAAAGAATGGAGATGCCCCCAATATAGTCTGCAGTTTATAATTAAATGACTTTACAGAATAAGATCATAATGTTATTTAAAAGCTCGAGCCGGACAGCTAGATACACAAGTGAAACACAAATAGAGGGAGACTCTTGCTGCCCATGAGTTTGTGTATTGAACATACAGTAGTCCCTGGGCTTCTGTAGTACTGCTGTACTACACGGCTACATGATGACAACCCTTTTCAGCACTTGCAATTTTGCACATTTTGGCAGTGTCTTTTCAAGAGAAATGGCAACAGAATTTGTGATTGATGTTTCAAGGATTGTAAACATTGATGTGGTTTCAAAACTGTGACAAGCTCATGACCCTTTAGGTCCCATTCACACCTTAGTATTTTGTAACACGAAGCTCCAAAACACTCAGGACGGGGGGGGGAATCAATATTACTCTATGGAGATAGTTCACATCTCCACTCCAAGTCACCTGAAGCAGAATGGCTGAAGCTCAAAAAAGTTTTGGAGCTTCCTTTTTAGCTCAAATTGGGCAGATGTGCACATTTTAATTCTCACAGAACAGATAAGAAACGTGACTGGTGCGCTTTTGCACGTGTTAATGTAATAATATATGAATACATTTAAAACAAAATAAATACACAACTAAAAAATCATGAAAACTAAATAAATAATAACCCATAAAAAAAAGAAATTATAATATTATATATTATTAGTAATAATAATAATAATAATAATAATAATAATAATAATAAATACCCAAATAAATATATTCATAATAATAAATGAAATAAGTAATTATTAATAATAATTTATTATTATTAATAATAATAGTAATAATAACCCCCCCCCCCAAGATACATTCATAATTAAACGAATATTAAAAAAAATATTCTTGATATTAATTTATAGCTTTTTAAAGTTTTAGGGGGTTAACGTTATGGGTTCATTATTATTAATTTATTATTACAATTATTTATTTCTGATTATTTATATTTGTGTATTTATTTTACATAATTTTTTTCGGAATTTCGAGGTTTATTATTATTATTAATAATACAATTCATTAATTATAGGGGTTAATTATTATTTATTATTACATAGTATTTATTTATGATTATTTTTATTTACTTGTGCATTTAACATTTATTTATTCATGTTATTATCACCCTAACAAAAAGTAATACATTAAAAAAAATATTAAAATAATAAATTAATAAATTAAAAAAAAATAAAAACTGATGGAAAAGCTGAAGCAGAAAACCCTAGCAACAAATGATGCAACAGATGATAGTTTTCTCTATTAGCTAATAAAAAACCGCCGATGCTCAAAAACAACTAAAATGCGCAAACATTGTGGTAAAATATGCATGAAAAATTGTGCGAAAAATGCTATGCTCAGATGTGAATGCAGCCTTACTGAGCCCTTGGTTTACTGCTCATCACTGTGCAGGTGGTGCCTTCCAATAACCTCGCCTATAGGTAAACTTCTGGTGTCCACATGACAACATCATCATGCAGAATAACATATTTGTACATGCAGCAGCAAACTAGCCTAGGTTATGACAGGTTTCAAGGTCTGTGCGACTGAATCAATTACAACTGTCTCATCTTTGTTTCCTCTTTTCTACAGAAAGGGCTTTAATCCTTAGACAATGGAGATCAATGATTTCGCACAATAGGGAGTGGGTTGCTGAACTCAATATGAGGGTGAAGGAACTAACAGCCAACCTACAGGACAGACACTCAAGCTTCATGGAAACATGGCACACTTGGATAGACTACTCTACCTCCTCATGCCTTCAGCTCTACTTATGTTTTCCACATAATTTTTTTCTAGCTACAGCACTGATGTTATTGAGCCAGTTTCTGACCAGTCACAATCCCTTCTTCTGTTCTCTACCCACTGCTTCCCCTTTTCTTTCTTCTGTACCTACCTATGATAGTGGTA